TTTAATGACAAGTCAATCATATACAGTAGAGAGTAAACATTGCGGTTTCCAAAAATATTTATCAGTGAAAAAAGTAAGAAATATCATTTTTGCGCTTCTGTGTCGAAACTGATTCATCCAAATAAAAAATATAGCACTTTTCACGATGACAAAGTCATGCTGTTCGCAAACCTTGCTGGAGAGCATAAATCCTTAAACAAACGAAGCATTGTTTGATGTAAGCTAAGAGTAAGTCTTGGAAGGGGGTCGAATATCTTTTCTCGTTGAGTAGTTAGTTTGGTGGTACGATGTGTCTGTGACAAGGTCGTATTTCTATAATAAAAAATGTTTAAAGTTATTCAGACTTTCTAAAGCTGTGTTAAATCTTGTGTAAAGCACGATGGAGCTTACTCTGAATATTTCACTAACAGCCTCGGTCTCTTTCAAGTGGAAATCTTATCACCAATTTTATATTCTATGTATGCTACTCCATGATGAAAAATGGTATTATAATGGTACATAACTCGAAATTGTTGACCAGTTAAATTATCTTGATATACTTTTCAGCTTCAACGGAAAATTTAATGTTACCCAGAAACAAAAACTCTTAAATATGAATTATTGTCCATTACTATATGAATTATTGTCCATTACTATAATATAAATTATTGTCCATTACTATATGAATTATTGTCCATTACTATAATATAAATTATTGTCCATTACTATATAAATTATTGTCCATTACTATATGAATTATTGTCCATTACTATATGAATTATTGTCCATTACTATATGAATTATTGCCCACCATTACTATATGAATTATTGTCCATTACTATATGAATTATTGTCCACCATTACTATATGAATTATTGTCCATTACTATATGAATTATTGTCCATTACTATAATATAAATTATTGTCCATTACTATATGAAGTATTGTCCATTACTATAATATAAATTATTGTCCATTACTATATGAAGTCTTGTCCATTACTATAATATGAATTATTGTCCATCACTATAATATGAATTATTGTCCATTACCATATTATAATATGGAATTATTGTCCATTACTGTGATATGAATTATTGTCCATTACTATATGAATTATTGTCCATTACTATAATATGAATTATTGTCCATTACTATAATATGAATTATTGTCCATTACTATGATATGAATTATTATCTAAGTAAGTGTTAGACTACTTTGTTATGTACAATATTTGTTTTGTTGTACTATCATACTGTGTGTCGATTGACCTATGTCAAATATGTCTTTTCTCCTAAGCGTTGTAAATCACGAGGAAATATGTACAAGTTTCCTATTAGAACTCTTTGTGGATAACAATAATGTTTTCTTCAGCATTGTTCATAAATGCTATACCAACAATAAGTGTTTAGGAGTTATTTAACTCGGCCCAGCTACACGCGGATGGAAATTTCCATTGACATCGAGATCTACATCCGAGCGATATTTGCTCATGCTTGAAGTCTAAAAATAGAGATGAGAAACTCGAGCGGTTGTTGGCCTTGACACTCTCGGTCAATGAGCAGTGGGGAATAAAATCTAACGAAGTTTTGTTATCAAGCACATCGAGTCGGGAACAGAAAGTAAAAAGTTTATGTTGTAGAAACAAAAGATATGTTAAACTCGATTGTTAAAAAGTCGTAGGGGATAGGCATGTTTACGTTTTGTAGTAATTCAATCCACCCATTAATAACCAGATATATGCGTTGTGTACGTGTACACGGCTGTTAGTAAAGGATTCTAAAGTACATTTCCTCCCGTTTCATTAACATGTTGAGAAGGAACAACAAAGAAAAGCTCTTTCTCTAACCACACCAACTGTCATTGAATTATGCTTATATATATACCAATGTCATGACCGACTAACAGAATTTATCCTAGCTTGTTGTGATGGCTTTGAATACGGGCACATCTAAAAAGGAACATAGGAATCGACCATCACTTAGACTGTATTTGAAAATGTTATGGTATATATCTATTGTTTTAAGATAATATCACGGCCAAAACGACTCCTTCTGGACTTTTATTTTTTTTTAGATTTTTTTTTTACATTAGTCTAGCGATATGTACGGTATAATGATAGCTAGCATCTATACTAACCCTTCAAATGAACTTAGTTTATTCACCGTACGATGTCTGTACCAGTTGTATGCAGTAAACGTAATTGATACAGAAGTATATCAAAATTATTTTAATATCTATTACTTTGATATCGCATATGTAAATATACATATAGATTGACGTTTTCTAAATTGATATTCAAACTTAAGATGTTTTACTAGAGAGTGAAAATTAAGCCTAGTTTTTTATAACTAGTAAACAGTTTGATGTTTCTATAATAATTAGTAAAAATCCTGTCTCCCATATCAATATTATACATTTTTGCTGTTTCCTATGTGTATACACGTTTAACATTTTAATGTTTGCGTTGAGATATAAAACGTTTTGCTGTCCGTTATAACGGACAATTCGATGTTTCTCGATGTCAGTTGTTGACTTTCCTGGTTGAATCAAAGTTTCTATAACATGACAAGGTTGCGAGTACCACTACCGCACCTATTTGACAAGCAGTTTTGAAGCTGTTCTCGATTTCTACACTTCAGACGACATTTCAATATCGAGGTTTAAAGGACAATACCCGTGAAAGTTACTCACGTAACCGTCTAGGGCCTAATGTTTAAATCAAACTCTCTCCACAGGTCAACGATCATATGAAAAAAATCGCAATATCGAAGGAAAACATTGAATCCGTATGTAATCAATCCCTTTGTGATATATCTCTGTCTGGGGGGCACGATCAAGTCAATGGAACTGAAAATCCTATCCTATATTATGTACGGAGTATGAAATGGCCATATGATGTTATTATTGGACAATAGCATGTCGACTAGTGTTACGGTAAACCTCCGGTCGCTACCCTGTCAAACTGTAAAAAATCGTCAGTTCGGCCACGACAAACAGGATTAGTGAATAGGGCCCGTATGTAAGAGCTTGTATCAGTCACGACGACAAAGAACTAATTCCGTCATTTATCATAACAGATCTCAGGGGCATCTTGGTGCCCGTTATGGTAGGGTATTTATCAATTGGAGACTGTTTATCCTTCCCTACCCCCTCGGACCAGTCCCAAAATATACTGTGAGACTCGAGAGGAAGAAATCTAGAAAATGAGGTTTTAGAATGATCTATCCAGAAGATGTAATTAAGATCAACAGACCGACAGACAGACCAGGGATAAAGTTGATTCAGTGTTTTTCCACATTACTGACATTTTAAAAAAAGCTTAAGAACAATCATACTCACACTATAAACATTATATGTCTACAACTGATGGATTAATTTATGAGTATGTTAAATCCTTAAAACAAATAGTTAGTGTTAAAACATTCGTCCCCTGCCGTTAATTAAATTTTTTAAGCAACATAGATCTTGATAGCAATGGACAAATGTCTCATCTTAACCATCATTTCTAGCTATGAACAGCTAGCTGTATATGCACTCCCTTGTGCTTAATACTGTATGAAATTTTAATCAAGTTTGCTATCCCTAATTCAATCAAGTGATTATCTAGAAAACAAATTAAAACATCGACATGTCAGAAAGGACCCAGCTTTGTGTCTGACCTTTCATGGCAAATTTAACCATACTAGTTTAATTGTCAGTATACAGCCTTCACAGTTGACCTTTTGACCTCGAACTAAATCCCACTCTATATATTTTTAAATAATATTAGATAGCAGTAAGTTTCAATATAATCGGTCAACCCTATCACAATTTATCATCTGGAAGCGAAAATATGACGATAAAAATCTATTTTTAGTTAAAGTGATCTTCGTAGTCGACCTTTTGTACCAAAACACAATTCCACTCTTTATAACCTAATAAGCTAACATTGAATGAAGTTTAAACCAAATCCATTACACCTTTCTGAAGTAATCATTTTGAAAGCAAAATTTGACGAAAAACATTTGTTGTTAGCAAGTGACCTTTGTAACTGACCTTCGACCCCAAACTTGATCCCACTCTGTATCTCCTCATAACTTAACAGCAAATGAAGTTTCATTCAAATTCATCAACGTTTCCTCGAGTTAGACACTATAGTCCTACTCCAGGTTACATCGGCAGGGGACTTATAAGGGTGAAGGTCACTTCCCAGGGACCAACTTACAAAATATGATTTTAGGATTTCCCAGTCATCAAAAGTGGTGTAAGTGTTTTAATAAATCTAGCTCCTGTAACCTTGAAAATGAGGCCAAATGAGTATTAACAAGTAAAAGCTAGTCATTTGAACACAAACATGAAACCCATTCATAAAGCCACCAGCCAAATGTCAAACTCGACCAACTGTTAGTTCAAAAGTTGTTCAAAGATTTCAACACATTTGGCACTGTATTCTAGAACGGACAAGATTATTTGAAATATTTGATAAAAAATAAGTTCATCACATCGAGAAACTACCCCATGTTAAAACTTTGGGCATCTTCGCTAATGGGAAGAAATTTAGATTTTCACAAATTATTTCACTTTGACCTTGGAAATAAGCCAATGTCAAACTTAAATCGTCCTTTATCATAGCATGTCTCTTAAGACATATTCAGAGGTAATTTCAAAATGTAAAATCTTGAAATCGCCCAACCTATTTTGTGGCTCTTCATCCCTGCTTGCTATTGGCTTTGTACGTATGGTGACCTTGCCTCATATCATTCAGAGAAAGACATTTACAAATTGTATCCAACTTGATAGCCATTTATCCCAACATGCTACCAACACTGTAAGGCCTCACTTGGTTTTTGAAGAAAACATTGAAGAAATATTGTAATTTAACCCACTTGCCTGGGAACAACTTAAATAGTTCTCAAAAGCTATCATGCTATTGGCTGTTATCGTAACCTTTGACCTGACCCCAAGGAAGGAGCTGAATTTCTCTTCAGGCATATGAGCTTTCTGAAACATACATGTTAAAAAAAACAACAGTAGGAAATTTTCTTCAACTTTTTCTTTATTTAGCAACATAGTATCACAACGTAGGAAAGGTTAATTTGTAAAATAAATAATACAGATTCATTTTTAGACTAGGACAGTCCAAACAGATTAACACTGGCACCAGTATTTCTGTACATGTATAGAGATCAGGTTTGGAATGAATAACAGTGTTTCTCCTTCCTATCACTGAACAAAACAGACTACTCCCTAACAAACACCCACTCACAGCTATGCTAGGACACTTTGTTTAACCAATGGAAGCCTACAAGTGTCCTCAGCATCCTTTTCCACACAACTCTTGGATACAACAAGGATTGTTTTGATCAGTGAAGGAAAAAACACTTTTATTATTGCAAACGTCCTGGTCATCATAATTTTCATGTTCCTTAACAATGACAACTTTGGAGGTCTTTCACATAAATTTCAATAGATACAAAAAGATCAATATAGTTAAGATCTGATGAGCACATTTTTATCTCCAAAAGGAAAGACACTTTTGTTGCTTAAAGGTTTTTAAACAAGGTTCTGGTTTGTCATGTATATCTTTTTATGCATGCAGGATTTCTTAAAATACACTTATATATTATCTTTTACTGCAGACTCTAAGAAACAAATATAGTGAACACATCTGTAAGACAGTGCATTCTTCCATTTTCTAAAATAATTCTATTGTTACCAACAGTTTCAGTTTTTCTTTTAATAGTTTCTGGATTTTATGAACCAAGTTACATTCATAATTTGACAGTACATACATGAACATAGGGGGCATATTCAACAATTCCACATATCAGTAATGCCCCATCACAATACTTCAATACAATATATAATCAAAATAGATGTGTCATATCTCATAATTGCACAAAATTTATATTGAAAATATTTCATTTGTGATAAAAACTGCATGTTGATCATTTTAGCCATTTCTGAATTGCCATTTTCTAGTTTATATAAATAAAACATTTTGTTCGATGCTTAGATCATTACAGTCAATCTGTTATCTAACGTGAATTATGTGTTATTTACAATATGCACGGTAACACCATATTTCTCTCCAAAACATAAACTGTAAGAATTAGATACATGTACATACTTTGTTCTAATAATGAAAATAATCTCAAATCCATGCAAAATAATGATGCAATATTTCCAAGTTAGCCTTAGGAAAAGTTGTGTGTTGGTTCTGTTGTCTTTTACACTGCTCAATGATCAACGGACAACAGAAGAAAAGTCCATTTTTATCATAAACTTAAATTAGCAAAACCTTATATTTACATCAATGAGCCTCATTTGATTTTTAGGACAACTAGAGTTACTTTTCAAAGATAATTTTCTTCTTAGGAAATCTATAAATACACAAGGCTTACAACCTTAACAACAGTATTTTGACAATACATACCATATCATGTACCATTTATTTACATTGATACACTGGCCCAGGTCAGATCTATTACCAACCACACATAAACCTATTACTGTTGGGTATATATATTGTGCTATAAATCAACCAATTAAATCATCTTCATTGGTTGTATCTGTTCAGAGCTTTTGATTGAAACATCTAGTTGTCAAAATTGATCTGAAAGTCAGGTGTATGTTCTACTTCAAATATTAAACATGTCAACAAGAAGATATTCTAGAATAAAAACATTCTAGACTGATCTAGACTTTTAGAGTGATTTTACAAGTACATAAAATCATCAGCTTGAAGCGAAACAAGGAAACGGGAATTAGAAATGGCAAATGACTGAAGCAGTATATAATGGCGTAGGTTTGACTGCAGTAGGCCTGGTTAGCTCAACAAAATATACAGGAAATATTTGATCATGCTAACCAAACTTTGACTACAACTTGCCCACCAAGAACACTTCCTATCTTCTTAACTAGCTATTGATAGAACAACAACAATAAAGTAAAACAACCAAACCTGGTATTGGGATACCCACTCAGGTTTTGGTAACCCGACCTGATCTTGGGATACCCACTCAGGTTTTGGTAACCCGACCTGATCTTGGGATACCCACTCAGGATTTGGTAACCCAACCTGATCTAGGGATACCCACTCAGGTTTTGGTAACCCGACCTGGTATTGGGAAACCCAACCTGATCTTGGGATACCCACTCAGGTTTTGGTAACCCGACCTGGTATTGGGAAACCCAACCTGATCTTGGGATACCCACTCAGGTTTTGGTAACCCAACCTGATCTTTGGACAATCACTCAGATGTTAGTAACCCAACCTGATCTTGGGATACCCACTCAGGTTTAGGTAACCCATCCAACCTGATCTTGGGATACCCACTCAGGTTTTGGTAAGTTGGAGGTTTTAAACACTATCTATAATATTTATATAAATAATACTAACAAGTTACAAGGCAAGCCATGTATTATATATAACAGACATAACTACATATTGGTATGTATGTAAAATGAGACCTTATACACATATATGCTTATTTACATTTGTTTGCCCTATATCATTAACTATATCACTTATCAGCAGCTATTAAGAATAATGTGTGTTAAGAACCTGGAAAACACAGCTGTATTTGTAACAACACAGCACATCAAATGAAGAAAATCTAAATACAACACAAATTTTGTATTTTTGATTGTAGCACTACGTCTTTTGACTAACCTCTAGGTTTTGGAAAAAGTTTAATATTTTGATTTTGAAATAAATATTTAAAAAAACTTATTGTACCCGTTTTCACAAGTCTACCATATCAATCCTGACTACACTCCCAAGATAAACTTGTGAGGTCAGTGAATTGGCTGCTTTTCTGGGACACGTCCATCTCCTGAAGAACTGAACAGCCAGATCATCAACAGTGATGGGAAGCTTAGGGGGAACTTATAATAAATTTCAAAACTTAATTTTTTGTTCAATCAGGTCTCGCTAAACTCTTTTCAAATTTAGATAAAATCTTGGTGTCGTTTCACCAATATATAGCTATGGTACACTTGAATATTGCATAAAGTGACATACTCAGCCAAGGACAGATACACAGAAATGTCAACATGACTAGGAAACATTATTTGTACGAGGCAGGATAATTCACACAACACTGTGGAATGTATTGTTAGGAAACAAACAAACTTGCACCATAACAGTAACCTACAGTTACCAGTAATGCTGTCAACAATTATAGGAGACTTTGGTTTTCAGAAGTGTCTTGATAAACAGTGATTTGTATAGAAATAAGACAATGTGGAGACTATGAAAGTAATCAAAGTATTATATATATATATAACAAAATGAGTATAGCTTTAAGCAGTTTACAATGTAACTTAGGTCTGCAGCACCTATTGAAAGACATTTGGAGTTCTTGCCCGAAATGGCTCACCACATTTTGGCCACACTCTGGGTGTTTACTCACCAGAACCCCCATTTGTGCAACCATATGTAAGTCATGACAAGGGTTCCTTATAACTCTATAATCTCCTTGGATTGATGCTTATAGCATCTCTCTCAGTCTATAAATTGCACATCCAACATGTTTATATGAATACATAATGAACTTGTTCACTACAGATATGATCTGTCAACGCTATCTTCCTCCTCTTTCTCACCATACACAGAAACTGTGTAAATCGTTCTCAACTCTCTGTTCTAATCACAACAAGTAGATCTCATCTACTGCTTTTAAAACAATGGACTACTTTCTAACACAACATAAAACACATTTACAATGTATTCATACATCCCACAACTATTATGTCACAGATATTTAGTAGTTGATGTCCATAAATCTCGCCACCATAAGTTTTTTATTTTGTTAAAATGAAAGACATTATCACAGACACATTGAACTGAACTACTTGATGCATCACCAGTAGTGCATGCACCACTATCAGTCTTCGTTCAATCAGGAAAGGCTTTCTGCAACCAAAGAAGGTTAATTGCTTATCCATATCCAATCACAGTACTTCAATGAGGATTGCCTCTCACCACACTTTTCTGTTGTTTTAGTTCTGAAAAAAGTCTTTACATCACGTCATAAATTGCATCACACCCCTCAATGCATATAGGAGTTCTGCCTGAAACCGTGCCTCTAGCAACATCAGATTCACATGCACCTGTGAAATGAGAAAAAAAAATGTATCTTTCTTTGAAATCAGAAATAAATTACATGATCAAGTTAAACAAATGAAACAGATACTCTGATGTAATCTATTTACATTACCCTCTATAGCTTTTTTGTATTAATTCAGTTGTGAACATTTTAAAACTACCATGAAAGTTTTAGAACACTCAAATAAAAAAGCATTTCTAGAACTACACTTACCTTTTCTGAATGTTTAAATTCCCTCATGACATTATCGTAATCTTTGCGAGTCAATCTTTCTGGATAACACGTCATTGTCTTTATGTAAGCCTTCAGATTTCTTTCTAGCAGCTGATTCACCTGACCGTAGTTGTAATCATCATGCATGATACCATATAAACAGTGAATGTAACTCCAGATAGCGCGACGGAATGCAGTGGTGTCCACATCACGTATTTCTCCCATTCTGTAAATGCATCAATAGTTGTGTCAAAATTTAATCCATACAAATTTTCAAACATGCTTTAATAGTGTCATGTAAGTGAGGTTTTTATGAGGACATTAATTTAATTCAACTTTTTTTTACATGGAAAATAAAAAAGAATGAATAGATATACTTACGTGTAGTAAGTCATGTTGGTTGCTACGGAGAATTTGTCCTCTAAGTGATTACCAATGTCCATATACAATCTATTGGATAATGAGAACCCATGATCTTCCCAACTGTAATCAGTAGCTCTAAAGGTAGGTATGTCTTCAACAGAGTCTCGTTTGGCGAAATCTTGGTAACAGTATTCAGCTTCATCAACATATTTCAAGACTTCAGCCTTTGGTGATGGCCGCACAGTGTTAGCAGCAACTGAGTAAAAAGAAACAGTCACCAATGTAATATTTAATTTGTATTTTGTCCCATCAGAAGTGTCTGTGGGTACATCATGGTACAACTTGTAATAAAAACCTGTAATAGGAGAAATGCTGTTGATACTGAACAGCTACATCATCTTAAGTTTGGAGAAGCTTTGTAAGGAGGATTATACAAAAGTTGTTTGCAGTACCATGACTTTCAGAATTAATCAATGCATGGATGTAAGACACATATCAATAGGACAGGATCACTGTCACACAGCACACTACAGAGATGATCAATAATGTTATAGCTAATGTTTTATCAATCACTGCTCTGACATCTAATCATTATCAATTACACACTACAGTACTTACTTTCAACACTCTGACTTTCCACCTTCTCAAATCTTTTAACTCTTTCCTCTTGCGTTGTTTCCTCTTCACCTTCTTCAACTAATTTCTTCATTCTTTCCATAAGAACTTCTATACCAACTTCAGGTTCAGAATTCTAAAGCAAACAACCATCCATGAATGAAAACTTTGTTAAATCATGAAATTAGCTATTCCATTATGTAAACTCTGTAATATTTCATATTCTAATAACTTATCAAAGTTCCACTTTCATTTGGATAGTGTCCTTTCTTAGAAGAAAATGTTTGGTAGGATTAATATTAAATGGTATTCAGTTTGACAAATCATACTTACGATATCCCCATTTGTGGAAGAACTGTCTGAGGAATCAAAATCATTGGCATTTTTCTCTACAGGGGACTGAGGTCTGTAAGTGTAACCACCATTGTGGTCAATCTCGGATTTGATCCCACACCCATAAACAAAGGAACAAAGTGAATGGAAGTGTGCCATGAGAATCAAAGCTTGCACCAATTCACTTATAGACCAATTGTCTTTGGAGTTGGTTGATCTTGCGAGTTTCTGAAAATCAAGTATAATTCTTAATCAGTTAACTTTCTTAATTATAAAGTGCAAAATGTTCAGTTCTCATAGTAACAAATCTATCATAAATTATGGATATCATCCTGAAATATTTATTCTACTATAATTAACAAATTATTCACCTTCAATTTATTTTTTTCGCTTTCATCAGAACATTTAAACCAGATAGAACTTGTTATAACCATGGACAAGTTTAATGATGGATGTTATGTGGTCAAGAGACAGCTGTACACTAATACATACCTCAATATGTGACTTGCATATCAACCAAGGCCGATGTGCCAGTAATTTGTTGAGTTCATTCAAATCCCTTAGTTTTTTGGGAACATGGCTTGTTCCCTTCAACCATTCGGGATCTCCACCTTGCAGAATGAATTCCTGTTCATGGAGATGAACCAGATAGGTACACATGTGCCTGCTGGCAGCCTGTAAATTGAAAAAGAAAAAAAATTTAATGTCTGAGAAAGAGCAGAAACAAAATCTTACAATACTTTCTGAAAATATATGCAACAACAAATCTTTCTTTTTACCAAATTAAAAAAAATCTATCAATTACATTTTTCAAAACCAAAACTACAAATTAAATGACCACATCTATTAATATTTTGTACCAGTTTGTAATTTTCTTTACATATATTTGATTTTTACCAAAAAACACTAAAAAGAAAGCTGTTGATGTTTGATAACATACCATGATCGCAATGTAATGCCGATAATGGAATGGTAGGGCCCCATCTCCTTTCATCAGATACTGTTGTGTCCTCAGAAAACATTCTAAGTATTGTGGATGATAACCCATGAGCTGAACGACATGATCCAGCCGGTTATTCTGTAGGAAAGCATCCACAAACAGGGCCTGTGTCTAAAAGACAAAAAGTAAATGTTTTGTGATTAAAGTAATAAAATCTTGTATGTTAATATAGCTCGTTCAATTCAAGATGATGATCAGGTGAAAATTTGTTTGAAAATATACAATATTTACCTCCATAAGTTTAGGCAATCCCATTTTCTCTGAATATTTCACACCTAATATTTTCAGTAAATGTTCCAACTGTGTCATTTTAAAACACTTCTTTCAAATAAAATAACCTGTCCACTGTTTACATATCACTAACAACTACAGTAAAGTACACTACCACAGACGTCCATATCCTTACTTCAACCAAGGCAGTGCTAATGAACTGGTTGTTAGCCTACACTACACTGTATATCTACCAACACTACTATTGCATCAGCACAGAGCAGACCCTGTTGTTTGTATGTATGTACACAAGACATAGGAATATATTGCATCATGCCACTAGTGTCGTCAGTCTATAGCCTATCCTATGGTACAAAAAAGGAACTACTTGTTATATTTCTTCCTGTGCGACTTTTCAAGCATGACTGGTTTTTTATACAAATATTTCATCATCTTGTTTACAGCAATGCAGTCACAGGCCAAACAATTTCACTTCCCATTGAATTTTTAATCTGAAAGCACTCCTATTTCACTTTACATTGACTTTGCACTTTTCACTGCAAGTTTTTGTTCAAACCTCGACACAAAAAGGTGCTTAGCAAATGTATGAAGCTTTTTTTTAAATGAAAAATGGGTAATTTCTAACAAGTGAGCTTAATGTTAAGATACTCTGATCATTTCAAATTTCTTTTGAAATAAGATGATAATTTTATTGGTAATGCCTTTTATAGTAATATAAAGCTAGTTTATATACTTATTCCCTAATATTTCTGCCATTTTAATAATGAAAAGGACAATAAGAAAATATTTTTTGACTGAAAAAGTTGTGAAAATCTAATCTCTCAGCCTCCAAAATTTGCAACATCCAAATCAAATTTTTTTTGCTACGATTTAAGTCATACTTAATTGCAATTGGCTATGCAGGAAATAAAGTTCAGTATCCTTTATATTTCTGAGATACAGCAACTCAATCCTTATATTGGGTTAGGAGTTTAAAAAAGCACGTAAATAAATATTCAGAAATTGCTCAAAATCGAAATTATGTTAGCATTCCAAAAATTTTCTGTCAGCTTTCCCAAATTGTTCCAACTGCAAGGTTTAGAGCTCTTGACCACAATAATTTTTCTTAAAACTGTGTAAAAAAGGAGGCTGAGTATTAATTTCAGCACAGGAATTACTTGTATGTGAATTTGAGTTTTAATACTACTATAATAACAGGTATCATGTTATGCATATGATTCCTATTATTTTTAGAAGCACAGTAACTTTATTTCACATACAGAACGTCCGATTCCTGTTCTTTTTTAGTATTATTTTAGTAACTCAACATTCCTGATCAATCCCACAAATTAACAGAATTTACATACATACCTCTGTATCTTTTGAGCTTGCTGGTATTATCTGCAAAATAAAAGGAATGCATACGTAAATACCTAACGATTCTGCACAAAACTGAATAAGATAAGAGGAAGCTGTCATCTTCATTTTCTCCTCCCTGTGGTCGGAAACTTTCTTAGAGAAGCAATTTCAATATTAATTACATTAGCCAAATGTTGACATATGTGAAACATAAAATAAACTTACTGCTTGCTGCAACTTAGGAACATCTATAGAGTTTTTCATAACCATCTTTTGTCTATCTTAACTGTCAAATTTCAAGTCCTGTCAAGTAAGATTGACGCTCCTTTGTCTAGTTCATAAACAGCTGATTTTTCCAGCTGACCTTGCGAAGATAGAAGCGACACCTAACGGATAGTATCTTTTACAGAGGGAACATTTCAAAACCAAAATACAAGCCCTGGTCGGATGCATTTCTAGGGTATCAATCATCACCAACTTTCAGCAAACACAATTTGGTAACTTACAAACAACAACAGCGTAAGCATTGCCATGATAATAATAAGAATGATCTGACAGCAAAATTATGGAAAATACTTTATGACTTTGCTGCAATTTTTCGTTCTACAAAGTGCAAAGACAAGTGCAACGAGAATAACGTGAAAAGAATAATATCTTCAAGACTAAACATTTCTGTTTATTTCATACTTCATTGCTACAGTGATATATTAATTAATAATAACAAAATCATGCTTTCCTCAAAGTAAATATATAAAACGCTACCTTTTCCGCTTGAACTGTTTGTCCATCCTTTCTAGGTGCAATATCGCACATTTGACAACTCAAGATAACAGATGCACTATTATTGTTTCCGTTTATCTTATCCAAATCTGCAGCTTTAAGCTCCAACGAGTTTGAAGTATTTGCAAAATCCAACATCACCGAACAGGGTTTTACATAATAAACATTTCCCTCAGTGTGCAACACAACCTCTCCGTTATAACTCTACTCGTTACTCTGAACAGCTGAGGTAGCGGCTAGTAACTCAGTCAATGTATGCTAATACATGCAAGATGAAGTCATCGGGAGGAGCTTCTTCTAACAACCAATCACATTTCATCTAAAGTCACGTGCCCAATTGATTGACACGACGAATGGGATTTTTCCACGGACAGATAAACGCCGGTTCGTCAATTAAAATTTCTTATACACAGCTTGACGGCAAATTGTTTCTAACAGCACTTATAAAACAACTCAATTCAATACAAATTTGATGGAGATCATACCATATTAAATACCAAAATGAACAATTCATCAGATATTTTCCATCGCTATAACGGACACTACCAAGTTCATATCTATAAATAAAGTGCATGAAACTGGGGCTGTCTCAAAATTAAACTGAATTCGAAAAGATTGTGTTCTAATTCATAATTCAGTCGTTTGTCATTTAGTTGTTGACTAAGAAACATTATCTATCTACTCCAAAAAATGTGATTTGAAAATAATTTTCAAAATATCTCGATTATTCTAATCGACAGTATCACGTTTTAAAAAACGCGTGTTTGTCTACGAACAGCTGATGTTCAAAGCACGACGTTGATTGGTTAAAAAATGGGTTTGCCCAAAGGTGATATTTCATTGGTGGAAAACGGGGGTGTGTTCCAAACGACCTTCACCTGAATATCAGCTATGATCAACAACGTGACCACGCACCATTTACTTTGCTTTAGTTTTAATAAGGCGACATGAACATTATTCATCAAAACAAGTCTTACATTTATATAAGAAAATCTACAAAATGCACACAGAAACACAAGTTGTTTCACGAAGGTACTTGTTATTGTCTGACTTGGTAAGCTTTTGTCACTGGCCTCGCACAAACAAATCAGCATAAGCATGAAATGAAATAATTAAAACAAAATACAACAATAAAATGGTATGTTATAGGGACTCTTAGAAAACATGTTTTATACTTCTAAAACGACAAATGCTTGGAATCATCGTTTATGTTGTTTAATACTTTTAAATTCAAGTATAATTTAAAATTAAACTTACTTGAATAAACTAATATTTCTTAACTAATATTCATTATTTAAGCAGAATCTTACTTAAAGACAAGGTAGTTTGTTGGCATCAAGGTTCAGTTATAAGTGACTTTAATGCCTTGTGATATGATACACAGCAGCCTCCTGCTACCCAAGCTTCATCCGTTCTATAACAGCCTGTAATGCGTGAACTTTACCAATACAATATTTATAACAAAATCATAACATTGTCATGTTACAGCAGTGAAGCTCAATGTTTGCATGTTACTTTTAAAAAGTTATGGTAGGTATACACGCAACACTGGTCAATCAAAAAAGTATATATTCTTTTACATGTTTACAGTTTTGTAACCAGGTGTCAAAACAGCCATTATGATTATACATAGAATTTAAAATTTCATTTACTACACCAAAAGTAATTCAATATTGTCACAATGTTTAGGGAGTTGAATGGTTTGATCCATACAATACCAATGATTTCAATAACTTTGTAGATTTTCAATGTGATTATCACTGAACCACTCCTGCAGAACGTACTAAGTTGGATCCAATTTTAATATTTATATACGATCACTACACTCTGTTGAATGTATAAGTGTGAATATATATTTGACAATAGAAGTTAACAAACTTCTCACATGTATTTTTAGTTACATTACAAAGTAACTCTGAGAAAATTTTTATGAATACAAATATAATGATTGTTTTTCTGTAATATTTGAGCTAAACACAAGGTAATGCAGTAAATTTGAAATTATATCAACCGTCATAAAGCTGAATATCTCCTTATCTTATCACTTTTCTCACTAATACATCTTGCAATTTCTTGATGATAAAAAGGATGATTATGACATAGATTTCTTTACCTGAAACTTTTGAGTAGTAGAAAACATAAACATTTTAAAGTCTTACCTTGAGCCTGATAATTTTTACCTAATTTTGACTTTGATAACCCTGACCTTAGCTCTCTCTCCCCCACCCCTCTCTCTATATATAAATATATGTGTGTGTGTCTGTGTGTGTGTGTATAAGCCTTAAGCTTGATTACCTTCATTAACTTAAGATCAGATTGCACAGTTTTTTATCACAATCCAACAAATGTATGAAATACAGTCTATGGAAATTTCCAAACACATTGCATGATCACTAATGATTCAGACACACATTAACACCATAGCAACAAAACTGTCTATCCATTTTAGGGGTTATCATTATGAATCATGGAGTAATTTCTCTCAGTAGTTAGGCCCTGTTCCCATATTTTCATTATAAACACAATAAAGGTCTCTATAGATCATCCCAGGGACTATCATTTCTATGTAGGTCCATCTCTCTTCAGAATCTCGGAGTGGTGTGCCCTTATACCCCCTTTCTATATGCACCTAGCAACCTGAACAGTTTGATTGGCCTGCTTTTGTAACCATCACACCCATCTAGATGACCTCTAGAACAGCCAGTCAGCTAGATTAATGGAAAGAAGAAATCAATATGATAAACAAGAAGAAAGGACTGCTAATGAAAAACTGGCTATTCTAAGAATCAATAGAGACATGTCTGTTTCCGTTCATTGCTGTGAGAATGATGGTGTCCATTGAGTGTTTTTATAGAAAACTCACGGGGTTGGTCAAGTTAACAACTAACAAAGGGAAACTGTTTGTCTTTAGTAGACAATTTTTTACTATAAGTCAGTTTCAATGCTTGATTTTGATAGAAAAAAATACACCCCCCTCAAATAAAGTCTTTTTGATAGAATAACAGTGAAATTTGTCTTGTTGGGAATATTTCTGAAGCTGACCAGCATTGATCAACTGGGGGCCATCTCTATGCTGTAACTGTCTTGATGAATGAGAATGATGTTGGAATAGTTCTGTGTTTAAGGGCTCACTAAAATCACCATTGCCCAGCAATCTTTTTTGTCTCCAGGATTCTCTTTAAAATACAATTTTGGTGATGCTACTGTATTGCAAGCACATTCAATAATAAAATCCTGTTGATATTATATATTGTTAACATTGCTTCATTTAAACTGAGTGTTAAAATTACCACTGAAAAGACACATAAAAATTACTGCTTCATTTAGACTGACTATTGAAATTACCACTAAAAAAGACACATAAAAATTACTGCTTCATTTAGACTTATTGAAATTACCACTCAAAAGACACATAAGATTTTGGTCTGCTTAACAACTTCATCAAGCAACTTCCTCCCATGTAATCCACAACAGTAGTGACAGGTAACAAAACTGTTCAATTCTAGGCGAAGTTTATCTCTGTGTGAGAACGGCACACACTTGGCATTGCATCTTGCAAAATATGCTGATTCAGGAAAAATAGTGACATCCGGGAATGAGTCATCCGCTACGTTAAGTTTGGAGACAGTTTCAAGTAAATGGATTTTACTGGAGTCAGAAACATGTGTGAAATCTTGGTAAATTGGAATCTATGGACTAGACTATATCAAACGTCACGAAACATTACATGTTTTACAGAAATCGGGAACCTGACCTTAATCATGCCAGGGCATAAAAAAAAACTCCAAGGGATTAAATGGAAGATCATGTGTAATGAATGAAATGACATACATTCAATTAGGAAATGTCTTTTAACTTCTAGTGGAGGTAAAAACAACATTAAATCAACCTCTCTTCATTGCTAGAGATACTTTTTTTCTTTTAATCAGAAACAGATAAAAAATCCCTCAATTTAAATGTTAGATTTAAATATCAAGTCCATTGATTGGACAGATCTGGACATACCTCTCAACATGATGGCTATATATAAAATATGCATTGCTTATTTAACCAGTAAATGACATCTTCATTTCAAACCCTGAAGGCATAATAAGCTACCAACTGGCAGTGTGGGTTGTTTCCAATTCTTGTTCCTTAAGCAAAGCTGTGCAAATTAAGAGTAGTTCCACACAAATACAGCTCTCACAATATTCCATCTTGTACATTAATTAATTATATTTATTCTTTCAAACAGAGAGACAATATTCTGAACTTTAAATTTT